GGTCGTTAAGGAGGTATTGTTCACCGGCTGGAGCGAGTAGGTCTCTCGTTCCTCTGTGATGGGATGGGGGGTTTGGTGATATCTGGAAGGGATCATGTCTATGATTGAATTGTATGTTTTTGGAATTACATTTTTCAGTTACATGTTTTCTTGGTTTTCACATTTATAGGAGTGACTGAATGGAACATTTCTCTGCATCATTTCATTATTTCCCATGGACACATTAAGCTCTGAGCTTCTAATTAAAATTTGCAAATTCATTTTCACACTTTAAAATCTAAAAATAAAGTATAAATTAAATATAATTCTTGATTTTATATCGATTTGTTGGGTTGCTAATAACTATGGCACCGGGGGTTTTGTAAGAAATAAAATATTTAACAACATATTTGTATCTCTGCGGCAGAGGGCTGCTCACACTGAGCCTGGTTCTACTGGAGGTTTCTTCCTGTTAAAAGGGAGTTTTTCCTCTCCACTGTCGCTTCATGCATGCTCAATGCGAGGGATTGCTTTCAAAGTCAATGAGTCGATGCAATCAGCTAGCTTTCCTCAGATAGAAAACTTTGAATCAATTTGACTGTATGATCTGGTAGAATTGTAAAGTGCCTTGAGATGACGTGTTATGAATTGGCGCTACATAAATAAACCGAATTGAATTGAATCATCTGATTGAATGCATTTACTCAAATTGCTTAAGGTTGCTGAAGGTTCAATGTGAGAATCAGATACTATAGATTTGACAAAATACTGAAGTATGTTAAAGCTTCTTACACATGTAAGTGTGAAGGCCATTTCCCTCTATACTTACATCCATCGTCTTCTTAAACTGGGAGGACTTCTGTTTGTGGAGGGCATCCATCTGTTGTTCTATCTAAAAATACAAACAAACAAGAAAGGTAGGTGTCAATTAAATGCAGGGGATCTAAATACACCACAGCATCGCTAAGAGCTCCAACCTTTTTTCTTGCATCTTTCTGTCTTTCTCTGAAATCCTCCAGTTTTTTTGCCTCCTCCCTCATGTTCTGTGCCAGTTGCAAGTGAGACAGACTAACATGTTCAGTCTCTTGAAACAGGAAGGGAAACATGATTCAACATAGAAAGCATGCACAGAAATAGTCATTATGGCATATATGGCAAAGCACTTACGCAGTTTAAACACGTCCAGGGATCGTTTCAATGTGCTTGAAATAAAAAGATAAAACAGGAAAACGATTAAACATCATATATATACACATATATATATCTATATATCTATATATAGATATATATCTATGTATTATGGCAGTTAGAGCAGATTAAAATGGCTCTGGATTCACAGGTTCCTTACTTCATCTCATTGTGTCCACAAACCTTCTTGGACAAACCAAGCAGATCTTTGGCATACCTCTCTTCAATTGAAGCCCTGAAAGACATCCAATTAACAGCAAGTCCTTTAAGGAGGCACATGTGTGTGTATCTATATCTATTCTATCTATCTATAAATCTCTCTCCTTAATAAAAAAAACTGAAGTTTTGCATAGATTTATGTAAAGTAGTTTGTAGTATTTTTTTTTACTGCTGCTGAAGAACTTCAGCTTTGCACACATGAATATGGAATTGTTTTACTTAAAAAAAATGCTCATACTCAGAGAGGAAAGGGGAATTCTGCAAAGGGCAATGGACATTTTAACATACAAAGTTAATTGTAAACCTACCTGTGTATTTAGGGTCATTGTTTGGCTGCAAGGTTAACCTTTGCTCTGGTTTGATGTTTTTTGCGATTCAGTTTTTGTAACCATTTAAAAAGTTTGATTAACTTTCACCATGAACGACCAGCTCTCCTATCCCTGCCTCAGAGAAGAGTCTCCAGACCATGATGCCCAGTACTACCATAATATTATACATGCAAGCATAGGTGTTATCCTGGTCTTTCTTGGGTTCATTCTAACAGAAACACTTTCTTTCACACATTTTTTGATAAACAACTCAACTATTGTAAAACTACAACATTCTTATTTATTTCTGTTTTTTTCTACTCTTCTATAAAGAGAAAAACTGCATTAAAGGAATAGTAGTTTTTTACTTTCAAAATATTCAGCCACAATCTGAGTATTCAATCCTCCGCTTGACTCTCAATTTAATGGGACAGCCATTTTTATTTAAAATTATGCAACCGAAACATCACATCATACACTCATTTATACATAATATTTCTAGATATACACACCACTCATCTCATTGTGAATACATTTTCAACAAAAATTCAAAATCAATATGCAATTTTACCAAATTATCATCTTTTATTATCATTACTTTCTTCTGGTTTGTCTTTTTTAAATTACTAATGTGAATCTATCATTGTCTTTTATGGGAAGGTATGTAAACTTTCAAGCACAACTCTGTCTGCAACCTGCTGCAGTAATGAATTACTGTATATCCACTAAATATTTGGTCTTTCTTATCGGAGAACAGACATTTTAGAGATAAATGTTGTAAATTTGCAGAAAAAAATGCTCATTTGACTGATTCAATAGAACCACTATTATTATTTTTTAAATAAACATACATAATAGACTTAGATTTGGCACTTTTATCATTTGAAGAGCTGAATGTGCCTCAAAGAATGTCTCTCAGTTCAATAAACTATTTTTAAAGATAAACAAATGAATTTACTGTTAAGGTTTATCAAACCAAAACCAAGTTCAACCATTTACATAGTGATCGATCTTGTGAACAAATACAGCACATTGATAGAAAAGCAGGAAACAGCTACACTGACCTATTTTCACCCTAACAACTTTTAAATAGCTCACTTTACTGATCCTGACATGAAAAAGGAGACATACAAGATGTACATGAACACAAGCAACATTTCTATAAACACAAGCCTGTATTTCTTTGCACGTTTACCATGAAAGCTGCATTTTTGGGTATTTTAGCTTAGGAATGTCTCTTCACAGTGACAGACCTGCTTAAATATCTCACTTCTTGTTATTTTTGTGAGCCAATTTAGTCTACAAAATGCTTTCCTTTCTTAATTTAGGGAACTCTCAGTTATGAAATTATGCATCATGTCTCCACTTTTATTTCCATAGTTTCCAGCCATATATGACCATGACATGAATGGTGTTCTGTTTCCTGAATCATAAAAGGCATTAGTCATTTACATAATACAGTTCCATAGTGTATGACATTGGCAGAAAAGTGTTGATGTGTGTGTTTTTGACAATAGAGGGAGTAAAGATTAATTATTATAGGAGGAAGTAAGAATTTAAAATCAAACACATGACTTCATATGACTCTAAAATTGATTGAGCCTAAAATGCTTCCCACACACACACACACCCATACATACACACCTTCCAAGCAAATGAAAGACAAATCAGTTTAGATTAGTCCTACGTCAATGGTCAGGGAATGTTATGGATTAAACTTAGACAGCTACCTACCACAAGAACACAACAAAGTATACAGGTTCTTTCACTTCAGCTTTCAGTTTTACCACCTTTTTTTCTTCCATTACTGACCTTTAGTTCATTTTTTTGAGGTTGGATCCTGATTCACTGAGTAAAATCAATAAAAAGAAAAAAAAGGTCCTTACCTGGCTTTCATGAAGTCCTCCACCTCCTTGCATGTTCTCTTTCCATCATTGAGATACTGAATGATGGCATCGTAGCCAACAGTGGAAGTCAGATCTGAGAACTGCAAGACAAACAAAATTACACTCTTCATTTCTTCATAAAAAAAAAAAAAAAATGTTTCTCTATGAACATCCATTAAGTGCTCCCCTAGTTTTAAAAAAAAAAAAAACAGCCTTTCCACTGACCTCTATAATTTGCACACAATATATATGGATATTTTAAGATTTGGATTTGAGCTGAGGTAATCAACCTACAGTGATTGTCTATATCTACACTTACTTTATGTGATATAAAAGTAATAATAATTTTATTTGATTAAAAGCAACAACCAATATTATAATTATTACACACATAAAATGTACATTTATGAGCATTTCCTTTTTATGGTGTCAGCTAAAGATTAAAACACTCTACTGATTTCCTTCCTTAATTTTCTGAAAAGAACATAGGGTATAAATAGCCATTAAGAAGTTAAGATCTGACTAACTTGTCAATATATGTTTCAAGTTTAAGTTGTTGATTGAAAATGTGCAAAAAAAAGGTGTTTAAACTTTAATATATATTATTACTTAAAAATTAAAGCATAAAAAATCATCCCTCACCCAGAAGAAATCCTTGAAATGCAGGTTCCTCATGACTGAAGCACAGCAAAAAGCAAAGAGGCAGATTCAACTATAGTCTCCAGGTGAGTACATTCCCTCTGCAGAAAAGCAGCCTGTCAAGAGTGAGCTGCAGGCAGGCACTGGCCAGAGCGTCTAATGCACAGAGATGATATTGCCAAAAAATGGGTGGGTAATTGCTTTAATGGAAGTATTTTGAGTATGCTGCCATCTTCTGACTGCAGATATAAATTACAAATGATATAAATATAGGTCTTGTTAAAAAGATAAAGCATAAACTAGAATTTATCACCATTTTACTCAATTTAGCCATTGTATTTTATATATATATATATATATATATAATTGTGTTCCAGCCATGATGACAGTATAATATTAAATATGTAAAATTTTATTTAACAAAAAAAAAAAAAAAAAAGCAATAACATAGAAATAAAATAAATGGATGTATAGACTTGGTAAAGAATCCGGTCTCTATTTTTTAATAGATTTGTATTATTATATAATACAATATTATGAAATTGTTATTTTTTTTCATGAACACAGGGAGTGGGATAAATGAATTCTTAGCTTGCAATTCTTTTTTACTTTGGATTCACTTCAATGGATATTAACTTTTTTGATTTTATGTTTCTAAGTTCCTTTGACCATTAAAACAATAGAGATAAATGCATTTTAACCTTTTTTGGTTGGACAAAAGGCATTTGGTAACAGTGATTAAATGCTCTACCCTTTTTTTAATTCATAGACTAAACATGTTCATAGTCTGACCTGAAACCTCCCTTAAAGATGATTAAATAGAGGTTCAGTTACCTCTGAAGAAGAACAATAAATACTATATATCCCTTAATTGGCCCATATTGGGGATATCTGTCCTCCTCTTTAAAGCCCCTCCTGATGGAGCAGGGGGCTGTACATAGAGGCGACCAGGGAGCTTGTAGGAGTTAAGTGTCGCGCTTTGGGAGATAGTTTGTTAAAGTGGTGTACGAGTTTGGCCCTATGAAGATACAGGTTGCCATATTTTACATCAGCATTACAAATCATGCAAATTTCAATATCTACAGTATGACAATGTTCCCTTTCCTCAGTATATCAACATAATTTACATGATTTTCTTTTTTTTTTTCCAATGCAGCATCAGCGTTATCCCTGTATTCTACTCTTATTAATAATTCACTCATTTGCTGTCTGCCTGTTTATGGCTTTATACTCTGGCCATATTATGCAGTTCTTGTATTTCCTTCCTGGACGTCCTTTAGGCCTAATTGCTCAATAAATTCCTTTTCTTTTCTCACACTGGACTTCCTTCTTTGAAGCTCCTCTGTTTATTGTCTCACCAGCTTCATTATAGTTCAAACTGACATAACAGGTCAATTAATCTGCATAGTCCAGAGGAGTCACACTGCTGACAGAATTGATAAAAAAAAAGGTAGTTAGTGTGAGATACTTTAAACAAGCAGACTTGTTGATAGTATACAGAAACGCTATGGCAATAATTAAAACTAGACTTATAAAGAACAGGAAAATTATTAAGTCATGTAGTCTGCAGAAAAGCCCCATATTTTATTTACCTTTCAACTTATTTACTTTTGTTTATCTCACTAAAACGTGTCGTTCTGAGACTTTTAGTTCTAGTCAAAGTAACCTTTGATTCCTGTAAACCATATCTTACAACATTCAAAGCATGTACACAGTATGACTTTTGATAGGTATTATACCCTCTGTTAAGATGATTGCTTGTGTATAAATATAACTTTGATGCACTTTTAGAAAGAAGCAGCCGTCCCTCTGCTTCAGCTATATATAGTATAGTTTTACATATTGATCTCCAATGAAGTAATGCCCCCTTTCCATCTATACATGTACAGGGTACACCTTGGAGAGATTTCCAGTCCATCACCAGGCGAGACAGAGACACAGACATACAACCATGCACATACACATTGGCACTTAAGGACAATTTAGTTTTTTGGACTGTGGAAGGAAACCAGAGTACCCGGAGAGAATCCACGCATGCAACCGCAGAACATGCAACAGTGCTAAAATGCAGCACCATGCAGCCCTCAATCCAGTCTTACTCTGACACCCACCCCTCACATGCATGTAAAGACAGTGGAGAGGAAAACCTCCCTTTTAACAGGAAGAAAGCTCCAGTAGAACCAGGCTCTGTGTGATTGGCCATCTGCCAAGGCCGACTGGGGTTCAAGGAATTAGAAGCAGAGATACAAAAGGCAACTGTTAACTAAATCCACAAGTGGGAGCCCAGCAGAAATTTCAATCCAGGATGGTGTCACAGTCAAACTGGAACAGAGCAGATGAAGCAACTATGACAAGAAAAAAGCACAGAGAGCATAACGTTATTGGTGGAACTAACATATACCGCAGAATGGGAGAATAAAGATCGGATGAAGCAGAATGATGAAAAGTATCCCCTTTATCCTCCAGAAGTCTACAGTAAGCTTATAGCAGCAAAATGTAGAAAATAGTTAGATGAGGTATGAGAAAGGTAGTTTAGCCTATTTTTTGTTTGTTTTACTTTATAGTTTATCATTAGCAGAGGAGTGAAGTAAAGAAGTACAAATACTTTGTTACTGTACTTAAGTACACTTTTTAGGTATCTATACTTTACTCCATTACTTATTTTTCCTCCTACTTCTGACTTCTACTCATTACATTTTCACACCAGTAGCTGTACATTCTATTCCTTACATTTTTAAAACAAACATTCCTCGTTATTCTTGGCTTTGGTTTAATGTTTATAAATATTTATTTAACGTCATATGTTCCATCCAATGCAGATGAATGGCGCCATCCACATCTAGTGAAAACTAGTTTAATTGGATGAGTCACATTATGCAAACACTCATTGCTTAGCTATTTGACAAATTTGTGCTGATGCCAAAGAAAATAATCAGAAGCAAGCAGGTGTTCTTCAAACTGCAAACGTGAATTGTCTATGCCATGCTACAATGTCGGATTCAGAAAAAGATGTTGAAATGTCTGAAAGGTCGGACACAGGCGAGAGCTTATCGGGAGATGGAGACGGAGACCAACAAGACCTCCCTCATCCTTGGCCCTATCTCACAGAAGTTTTCAAAAAGTTGAAAAATTGAGCTTTCAGTTCATATAGTGGCATCTAGCTGTTTTTTTGTTTTTGTTTTTGTTTTTTAAGGTTACTTCATTACTTTTATAAATTGAGTAGTTTTTGGAGCACATACTCTTTCACTTTTACTTGAGTAAAGAGGTCAAATTGATACTTCAACTTTTACCAGAGTGTTTTTAAACTGCAGTATCTGTACTTCTACTTAAGTAACAAATATAGTACTTTTGACACCACTGATCATTAGAGATCATGTTAAAATGTAAGCTCTAAAAACATCTTCTTCTGGTTCCCAAAATCAACCTCTTTGAACTCCAAAACAGTTTAGATAAAACATTTTCAATACCTGTTTAGTTATTTTAACAATCTACCTTAAATCTGTAGCAGCAGAGTTAAATTAGCGTAGTATCTAATTTTTTAAATCTTTTTTTTTTTTGTTATGCCTTTTTAAAGTCAATTAAATAAAGAGAAAAATTATTAATCAAAATGTTGATAGTATTACCACATGAACTCACATCTGTAGTTTCCAGCCTTTAGAAACTAAGAAAGGTTTATGACCGTTCCAATCCAGCTAAATATGACTGAGAATTAAAGCTTTGCTGGAATTTTCAATCAGTAAGTGTTTTGCTGGACCCATTAATTTATAAGCATGTTCTGAGTAGCTTAAACTGTTAAAACAGCATCAGCGTCAGCACTGTGATCACAGCTTGCTCAAGCACATTCTATAGTACTATTATGAACTGCATAGGGCACGCCTTCCCAAGCCACGTGACCAGTTTGTCATGTGGAAATTACAACGTGGAAGAAGTCAGACAAGAGGAAGAGTCACTCACTCAATTAGAAAGTAACATTTTGCAGATTTTTCAAGGTCACTTGAAATAACAGCACTCTATAATAACACATATACTCATAGTGTTGTTCACATTTCAAACAATAAATGAGCGTTTCTACCAATTTACCAACGCATACCTTAGATCCTTTGGGTTTATAATGCTGTGAACTATTTTACAAATATCTTCCTGTTTTTGCTTCATGTCACACTTAGATGTTTTATCATCAAACTTAAATATAATTTCTGAAAAGGAACATTTTAGTCTCCAAATTATTATGTTTTTTTTTAATTCACTGAAAGAAAACCTTTCCCAGCCAACCTTAAATTGAATATTGCCTTGGTAGAAACAACTGCCATCAGGCGTTTGCAATACAGACGTTTAATTTCTTATATCACTATGGAAGAAGTTGGACACATTCTTTTTTGCAGAATTAGAACAATTTAGTCTAGAGAGAGGTTTTCTGAACAAGAATGTCATGTCTGACGTCATGAAACAGCCTCTCAGCTGGACTTACAGTCGGAATTAAACTGTTAAAGGGGTTTTGAGTTATTTATGGATAGACTTGTTGGTTTGTTTCATCACTCCAGTTTGGTTTGAAGAGCTAATATGATATCAAATTCATTGAATTATTTAAAACACATCATCTGAAGATAAAAAATAAATGTACATGTTTTTTTTATACAAGTGTAGTATGTCTCTGCTAGGTCAGAATGCACACTGCTTAAGAAATAAAAATACAGGAGCCTCTTCTGTTAGAATTAGGGCTGTAACTAATGATTATTTTGCAAATAGATTAATCAGTCAATAATTATTTTTTTTTTTTTACTACGGTAACAATTTCATAGAAAAAGGTTACTTACAAATACTTTTTACAAAATTAAACCAGGTTAACTCAAACTTTTCAATTTGAGGAGTTCCGGATAGAGCATACTGATAGATAAAACATTTTTTTTTTACCTTATGTTCAAAATGTTGATATATTTTCTACAATCTTGATATAATAACTGCTCTAAGTGGGTCTCTCTGTCAGCTAAAGGTATGTTTTAGAGTCTCTATACTCCAGGTAGCGATTACTTGATTACTAAATTAGTTGACGATTATTTAAATAATCGATTAGTCACGACTAATCCGATGAATAGTTTTGGCCCTAGTTAGAATGTTAAAACATGTCATCTCAAAAAAAAGGATACTGGACAAACCTTGAATAAGAATAGCTCGTGTACAAGGATGTACATAAGGTTGCCCCCTAAAAAAAGGGAACTGTTCCATATCGGGAAACGAAATTGGGCATCTAATTTAACTCAGGTTTAAAGTAAAGCTTACAAAATGAGTTCACACCCAATAAAAGGCAAAAATAAATTCATAATATCAGTAGGAAGGAAGACATTGCCAAGAAGTCTACATTATTTAATTTCCCCAGAGTTGGCAACCCTTATATCAAACGTTTAGAGGGCATAATTCATTTTAGGTGCCAGTGACTAAAGATGTACCCAGAAAAACACATCACAAAAAAAAACAAAAAACAATTGCAATCTAAACTCACTGTAGGGTAGTGAAACTTAAAAAAAGACACAATGTCACTTCTGTAGGAACGAACTGCCAAATAAGGTCATATTGTTTTAACATAACCAACAGGCCTCAGATAGCATTGGAAACGCAGTGGAAACTACAATAACAAGCTCTGACATGTTCAGGTTCCTTGTGCAGTAGCTACTTTTTGTTTCACTTAGCCCATCCCATGTTACACCTTATGTCGCAGTATTCTCTGTTTTTCTGCTTAAATTGGTTTTAAAAGGACGGTAGTGTTCGGAATCCTCGTGTGAACTGTCTAATTTGTCCAACTAGATTCACTATTCTTGATAGATACTATAATATAAAGGTGATTATTTTACATATAGTAAAACATGGGGTTTGAAATGATGTCACCTGCCATCATGTGACTGTTGCTGTTTACTTTGCGCTGTGACCTCATTAACTATTCAAGCTTTTAACCTGTTAATATATTTGTTTGTTTCCTAGTACTTTTATTCATTACATATGTGTTAGAAAGAGAGCATATATTAAAAAAAATACGTGCCATATAATACAAGCAAGGCAAGAGATGTTTTGAACAACATCATAAACATAAGGTTTATAGTGGGAGGACTTTGGCTCTGACAGAAGGGGATTCCTCAGTCTACGTCATATTTATTCTTCGGTACTTAAGCCTGACTTCCTATGTATAGCTGGAACCTGTTCTTCCTTGTCAAAACAGCACGGCAGGCGTTTTAAAAGCTCCGCGTTCAAGAGACAGTGTACGTTTAAAACTCTCTCGGTGAAGATGACAGTCAAGGTTGAAAACCCCGGTGAGTTCAAGAGGATTTATTTAAACTTGTTTGAGTTGTGTGAGCTTTTCTTTAGGTCTTAACTTTTGTGATCCTAAATGTGACTATTTTTCCTCCCCCAACAGATCTTTCCGCCACCGTTAAACTCTGTGGACTAGAGTTGCGGGAAGTTGGAGATAGATTCTACTGGAGATACAAACTGCTGGAACTACTGGTCAAGAACTATGAGACGGTCACCAGACGTCAAAATGATACCAGCTGGAAGGAATCATGAGGAAGAGGGACGTTGTCCTGAAATCAAAACGAAACAAATTCTTGGATTTGAACCCATTACTGGTTGATGACACGGTGAAACTCGGGAGGGATGTCCAATGTTGACAGATCTCCCAGGAGTCGCCGGCACGGACTGTGGACTGGCACAAGATGGGATACAGAAATGGCATTTGGAAGGCAGCTGATGATACGGCTGTGTGGACCAAAGAAGAACATCTGGATGGTGGTGACCAGCCGAGGATTGTGGAATTCAAACACACAAATGCTCTAAATCATTACAGCATGTTTGTTTGTTCACAGTTGTTGCAACGACATAACTTACGTTACAAAATTGTTAAAAAAAAAAAGGTTACCAATGAAACAAATACATTCATATAATGTTTATTGTGGATTGTTAATGTAAGATTTACATTTAAGTTACTGGAACTATATTTGTTTAATGGGATACAATTAATTTATCTACAGTTTCTATTATTGTTTTTTTATGGTTATTCTATTTATGACTTTTTGTTATTGTTACTTACAAGTTCCAATTTCTTTAGATATGAAAATATCTTGACATTAAATGGATCTGTCATCTTTGAAATCTTTGTTCAGTTGTTGGGTATAGCTTATCTGAATGGATATTTTTACTGTAAGATTATTCTTTATAGTCTTAATCCGGAAGAAGGTGTATTTAATGCTTTTATACTAGCACTTTGTTCTTGAAAATAAATTATTCTGTTAAACCATGGCTCTGAACCACCTGCATTTTTTTAACATGGATTATAGTTGTCGTTGTTTTGAAAGGAAAACTAAGAGCTTCTATATATCACTACTTTAAACATATATGAGTATTACTTTACATATTATAAAAGGACATTTTTATCAATAGGTGTCAAAAGGTCCAGAATATTTTGTGTTATTTGCAATGAAATGCTGAACGTAGTCAGATTATATTTCAGTATGTATATAGGTTAAAATCCTAACTTTTCATAGAATAGCACCAGTAATTTAATGTTGCCCGTGTTTAATATGTAAATTAGGTTAAAAAATGTTCATAATTAAGTTTAAACATAATAAACTAAGAAAAAACAAAAGCTAAAAGATATGTTTTACAAATCCAATTAAAAAGTTTATAAAAACTAAAAATGTAAGTTACTCTATCAGCATTAATGTTCTGAGGGTTATTACAAAAACCCGTTTCTTTCTCTATGTAAGTATATTTCACTATTTTCTCACTTATTTGGATTTTTTTTTTTTTTAGATATTAAGGTTAAGTGATTGTTTTAAGTAATTAAGTTGACCTTGACTCTTGTCATGAAAATATTTTTGTTTTAATGTTAAAAAAAAGTAGGTGTTGCTGTAAAAATTTCTTGTTCTGTCCCCTCATCCATTTGCCAACACTGCCCCCAAGTGGAAATAACAAGGAAACACATGTTTTTGAAAGCCACAGCAATAGAATATAAAACATGTTGGATGCTGTCGGCAGACTTTAAATAAAACTTTTTTTTCCTTTACCCTTAATAGGGCACTCGGTGAAAGACTTTAAATCTTTTTAACTAAATTAACTAATTTTCTCTTAAAATATGTGCTTTTTTTTCATGAATGAGCAGGCAAATGAGACACTTTGCAAATGTAAAAAGAAAATTTACATCTAAAATAAGGGGGAAAAGTGCAGTCTCCTATTTCAAGAGCATAATATCATCAAATAATCTGATTTAAAGGATAAAAATGCCTCTTCCACTGGGAGATTTACTTATTTACCTACTCACATTAAGGGTAAATACACTTATTTTAAGACATTTTCACATTTTTGTAGTGTGTTATTGGAATCGGGGATGAGCCCTCATAATCTTTGAAACATTAAAAAAATATGGATATTTTGATGGCAAAAATTAATGTCCATGTGATAACAATAAACGGCAACTTGCATTAATATACTGGTATTAAGAAAAATAACAAAAGTCCTTCTATAAGAAACTCATGAAAAATAGTGAAAAAAAAATTTTTTTTCCCAGATACAACATAACTTTAGAGGCATATTAACCCTTTAGCTTTACTTTCTAACTTTTCAATCAGCTTTTTACCTTTTTTTCTTGACCTGTTATTCTTTTTTCCCCAACTTAATTTACAGTAGGTAATATATCATTCAAGGTCTCATCTAATTGGTCAAATGCCAAAATAAGATGTACAACCAAAAAGCAGCATCTTTGCTGAATGAATTGATATACGTAGATCTTGTGCTTCTAGACCTGCTGAATGAATTGATATACGTAGATCTTGTGCTTCTAGACCTGCTGAATGGATGGATATATGTAGATCTTGTGCTTCTAGACTTCACTGAGGGACAGGGGGACTCCATTTCTTAGGGGTATACAAGTGATCAAAAGTGGTAACTTTCCCTATAAAGGGTTAAGAATCTTCTGAGCTCATATTTCATTTAAATGATGAACTGGTGGCTTCAGTTATCCAATTATTTTGTAAATGAGTATCAGAACAAAGGGAATTTAGTAACAGTTTAAAAACAATGGATTTGCTTTATTACATTTATAAAATCCATAGTTCACTGCAGACTTCAGAAAATACATTAAAAACCAACACCAGTAGGTAACAATGCATCCCAGTTCATCAGTGATGGAAGTAAATTCCCACTCGAATTGAAGAAATGTGGATTCTGTCCCTCTCCACTCTCCTCCAAGGTTGTGGAACTTGACTTCAAAGTGAAATGCCAACATTATTTTTGTCTGAAAGGGGGACTTTGTACTACTGAGGAACATTACATCTTTTGTTTCGGGTGTCTCTGATTGAGGAGTGGTTTGACAGGAGAAATGCACCATCTGACTGTAACCATTGTTTACCATGTGTCTGTTTATAGTGGCTCTCAGTGTAAAGACTTGAGCCTTATTTCATTCTTTTTGCAACTACCCAAATTAAAATGGATGGTGCTCAGTCATATTTCCTTACAAAGTGTTTTCCTTGCACTTAACGTTTTCTTTGAACAAGCAGCTTCTTAGCAGTTCTTGTGGAAGGAGTCAGCAGTCTGCCCCATGATTGTTAAGATCACTAACCTTAGACACTAGTACACTCAGGAGACCTTTGTGGGTATTTTTGAGTTAATTAGCTGACACCATGAGTTTTGTTTAACTATTTGAGCAATATTCAAATTTTCTCAGACATCTGGGTTTTCATTATCTGATCATGATGAAAATTATAAGAAATATTCCATGGCGTGTGTAATGAATCTATAAGAGTTTCGGTTTCTGACATACTTTTTCATGAGATCTGTGTGCTACTTTGTGCTAAATTTATGTAAATTCTAAACATATCCATTTGTGGTTTTGTGACATGATGTGAAACATCAGTTAATATAGTTTTGCATGGGGAAAATTCTCTAATACATGTTCAACTAGATCTGATTAGGGTTAGCTTTTGATATGCAAAAAGTTATTTTTTATGTAAGGAAAATCCTCTGTTTCCACTCATGAGAATCTGAAGCAAAAGCAAATAAAACAAAACAAGAAAAGCACAGAATATATCTAAAATTAAGAAACCAAGACTTAAGAATAAAAACCCTGTGAGACATGTGGGTGCAAATTATTTATGGAAAACAATGGAATCAATTAGCTTTAAAAAAAAAAAAAAAAAAAAGACAAAAACAACATCAAAACAGTGTGAATTCAGGCACTTAAAGGATCCTTACTTTATTTTCTGTGGTAATACAAAAAAAGCATACAGAATTATAGAGGATAGATTAGATCCCTTTCATTAAATTCCATTAGATCGTACACTTAAAAGGACAAATAGTTACATACAAGCCTGTTCTCTGTAGCTACATCCGTTAAGTAACCCGGCCCCTCCACCGATAGCATGCATGGTCTCTGCTGTAAACGCATTGGAACAGTTCTTCACACCCCTCCGTATTTTGCATGAAGAAATTAAAACCAAACAGAAAGAAAATGTTTATGCCATCAAACAAAAAACAAATCTCATATTATACAAAGATTACATCTACTAGAACTGAATTATGTGTAATCACGTATTTGATTGTAAAAATAAAAAGGTTTAAGCTGACTGGCTCTGAATTGTGTTAGTTTTGTTCCAGTCAACTGCATTTTTTATTCATCTGGATTGATTTAGGCTCAAATAACCCCTCCGCCTACTTTTAAGGAAAAATAAAACAATGCTGTTTGTTTCTCTTTACAAAATCTCTGTGATTTATGACTAGATGTATAAAAAAAAGCAAGATGATAGATGGAGCCTTTAGAAGCCACCATCTAAATAAAAAATATACTTTTTTACGGTTTTACTGTATTTTCCGACGTGATTTCCTTTGCGAGGCAGAAAACGGTTTAGTCGAGATTGTGGATCAGCCAAGTGGGAGATGAGACCGCTGAAAATTTCCAAGCTGATTTGAACAGTTGCTCCACATGAACAAGACTCTTACATCTCCAAGTGTGTAAACACACCAGTATTCAGTGGGAAAAAAAGTGACATGAGACTACATCGAAACAAAACGGTCCTGCAGAAAGATTCCTAGCCTATTTCTGTAGCCATCCACGCATTTCATACCATGGGAGACCCCAATCTGAGATTAGTTTCTGCCCACAACTTTAAAGTGTTATTTCACACTCAAAAGGGAAAGCAGAAGCTCATACATATGGAGCTTTTATTTATTCTTTTCTCTTAAAGTTCATAGTTTTTATTTTTTATGCAACCCTGTAAAATACCTAGAAACACAATCCAGCCAACAAGGTAAAAGACTGAGCGTAATAGGTGATAAATGAAAGGCTAATTCAGGCATTAGCTAGCAACATAAACAGCAATGGTGAGACTTGCCATGTTCTATAAACATAAAATGGACCCTTGGCAAAAAGGAAAAACCAACAAATAATTTGTTTTTCTATTTAAATACAGTTGAGGATAAATTCTTCATTTAAGTTTAATGGGTCAAATGAGCCAGCTTGCCGTCAAAAGTGGAAGGACTGAATTATGGGAGTTTTTGTCCTTCTGTTCTTCCTCAGGAACAAATGAGAAAGAAGGAAGGAAAATCAAAAAGCTTTGAAGGACAAAACAATGTGAGATCTGTAAAACATTCAGGTAGTCTGTTCTAACAGTAACGGTAAGCAATTTCTCCCCAACACAGTGGGAATGAGCTGGTGGAGGTGGGAGAGTTACGAGAGTGCAAAGAGCATCTAAAGCCATGGGATTTGCCATCTTTTAATCCTTTAATTAGCACGGTGGGGCACAAGGAGAATAGTTTGCAGACCGTGGAGAGGTCTTGAAGCAATGTAGATGATGTTTTATTTTCTCTATTTGATGAGAAACTTCACCCTGGTCAGTTTCTTCCAATTCATCAGGACTACAATGGCTACCTGTTCTGCTCTCCGGTGTCATCCTGTGCAAGCAGAGGATCGTCCGCTCGTAGTGTTGATGTTTTCGAAAAGATCCACAGTCCACGGTGGCGTATCACTTACCTCATCTCTGTGAAAGCAGCCTGTTGTTTTCCATTCAGACACTCTTCCATCCAATCAACAGTTACTTGGTGAAGCCCACCACCAATAAGACTGCAAATTGTTAATATGGACTACCACCAAAAAAAACGTCATCCAGAATAGATGTATAAACAGGCTCCTCAACCAGAATAGATTGTCTTATTTACTTGAAGTCTGTCTCAATAAGTCCTTCAACCAATTAAATAAGCCAGCCCACAGCCAGATCTTTCCAGTCCCGACCATTTCGGTGTTTTCATTTAGTAAACGCAGCGACCACAGCCCACATGAGTTCATTGGCGTTGGGCTTTAGGCTCTCTTTCTCAGGCTCCAGCTCCAGCAGGGTGTGGACCCTCTTCATGCCTAGGTCATACTGGTCATCCTGGAGAGGGGCGAAGGCATTCTCCAGAACGTCGGATGAGTGAGCCAGAAGAATCAGGGAGAGCACCCGCTTGTCCATGCGATGAGGATCGTTGACCCATTTCTCCAGAACCGAATCCTGGACCTTCTTGACAAGGCGCTGGAATGGATAAAAGAAATGCACAAATCACCTAGAGAGCTCAATGAACAGATATGATTGAGTTTATCAATGAAAATTAAGAAAAACAAAAAACGTTTTTTTTTTTATCTATTAGAATAGTCTGTTGGTTTTTGGATCCATGTGTTCTCACATAAAAAGGGGGTTCATACCTTCTTCTACACTTTTTCAGCTCACAGGACCTCATACTCACACACAGTGTTGTAGAACAAACACTTCTCATCCCAACAAAGCTGTTAAATCTACACAGCAGACCCATAAGTTATTATATAAGTTAAAATTCTTCAAGTTGATATAAAATAAAGGACCTATCTGTACATATTTAAATCTTGTAACAATAACATCAAAAATCCTGTTTATAAATCTGCGGTGCATAAAGATAGGACCCAAATTATGTCAGTTGTCCCTGGTGATGCCAAATTCCTTCCACTGCATAAGTTTACTTCTTACAGGAAAAGAGAGCTTGCTTTTCAAAGTGCAATAATGCAAATAATAGCAAGTAAAAAATATGTTTAAAAAAAGAAAAGAAGAAAAAAAAAGACTCTTCAGCAGCTTTTTGCATATTTCTGCTTACATTTGATGATTCATCTATAGCAATCAACATATATCTGCAGCTTAAAAACAATTGAATGAAACAGTATAAAGCCCAACTAGGATTCAGCAGAGATCAGCTTGTTATACCTGTACTGCTCTTAATAGTAATCAAACTTAGGTTAAATTTGTTATTAAATTTCCACCTTCTCTTGCTGCTTTTGCAAAACAGTTAGATAATGTTCTATATTTTCTAAAACCAATTTAAAATTCTATAAAAAAAAAAATGGAAATGTAGGGATATAATTTGGGTCTGAAATAATTTATCATTTTAGCTGAAGAACGTTGGTTTATCCAGCGGTTATCAAATTGGTATTATAAAACAACAATTAAGCCATCTGACCCACAAATGTTTCGACCAAATTTTTTTTTTTTTGACCTAGGAACATAGCTAGAATACACACTTCCTACAGACAGATTTTAACAATGTAAAAAAAAAACTGGCTTTTAGCTCATAAGCCTGAAATCTGGTTTCAGGCTCACAGATAAAAAAAATACAACAGTCAGAGAAAAAAATATTCATTTAAATAGAGATAAAGCGCATTTGTGAGGTACTAAGCCTGAACTCTACATGTATAGCTACTGTATCTAATTTCAAACGTTGAGAGGATGATGTGTTTATTATTCTTTATCTCACATCTTGATGGCATAAGGAGCACTTTGGAAGTTTACAAATATTACTAAAATATTTAATTCACAGTAAGACAGAAGAGCTAGAAGATCCAAAGACCTCCTCATTCTGGAGGAACCAGTATGATCAATCTGCACAGGTAGGTATAACTTTAATTCATGTGGTCATTTTTGATTCAGTCACAGATGATAATCTTAAAAATTATACTTTCAAAACAAAATATTCTCATTCAGAATAATGCATAATATAGAATAGGAGGACAAGAAATAGTCCCATCCTCATGCAACATCTTATCACTTATCATTTAACCCTTTTTTTTCTACTACGTTTAGTCCAGGTTAAATACTGAATAAGCCGATAAAAGTGATCAAGTACTGCACACACAGTTGCCCCACAGTCACACAAACTGATGCAATACTGATGACTGCTCTAACCTGAAATCCCTGTGTCATTTCCTTTCAACATAGAAAACACTAAATGTTTGCTTTACTGTTTTAACATCCATTTTTCTATCATTTAGAAAATCTAATTTCACTGTAATAAAACTCGCAGCACCAGGAAGTGCATCTTTTCAACAGCAAAATTCCTCAACCTCCATCTGTTCTCAATTCTTGCTGCAGATTCTCTGCCAAAAATCAAACTTCAGCCCAAGTCCAAAGTCCCTTGCAGCTTATTTAGTTAGTTTAACCATTTCTGTTCAAGGAGGGCATCCCCACTTGATAATGCTGCCACCACTGTGTTTTTAAAAGGGGGGAGGCATGTTCACTGTAAGGGGCAATGTTTGTTTACTTCTTTTAAAAATATAATATATAAGATTCTAATTACTCAGAACTGGGCTCCATTTCTAAATGAGGTAACTTTGCAAGGCAACTGGTTGCACTGGAGTTTACTGGTTGCACTGGAGTTTACTTAGTGGTATCAGAGCAAAGGAGGCTGAAAATTATGTGAATAAGATCAGGAGGCATAAATACTTCTGCACGGTAAGAAGTCACAAAATCTGGCAACTATGGCTGAAACAATTAATCGGATTAATTGCGATTAATCGATTATTGAAATAACCGTCAACTAATTTAGTAATCAATTAATCGTTACCTGGAGTATAGAGACTCAAACATGCCTTCAGCTAGCAGAGCAACTCAGAGCAGTAATTATACCAAGATTGTTAATAAAATATAAAAACATTTTGCATTTAAAGTTTTAAAAAAAAGTGTGCGTCAATATGATCTATCCAGAACTCCTCAAGAGGCAAAGTTTGAGTTTTCCCTGGTTTTATTTTGTAAAAAAAAAAAAAAAATCTTCTTCAAGGTATCTTTTGCTATCCCATTAATCATTTAATAAAAAAAAAGAATAGACAGATTAATCAATTTGCAATGTAGTTGTTAGTTGCAGCACTAATGGCAACAAAAGAGAAATGTTGCATTTTAATAATCAAAGCAATTAAATGTAACTATGCAAGAGGTCAAACCAGTTGAAAAACTGGGCGTGAACACTATTCATACAAACGCTGCTCGATGTTGTAGTGATCCAGAAACATTATATTTTAAGTCATAATCCTCCCAAGCATCCAAACCTGTAACCATTAATCCAGATAACAGCTTTTGATGAACCAAGGATGAATATTTCCTCATAATACCTGCTTAATGGTGCTGTTGGTGAGTGGATGTGTGGTCATATCAAAGAGCAGGAAGTTCTGTTTCTCTGTGGTGAGGACACCTTTCTCCACCAAGTTCTTAGCCAGGCGTTCTCTAACGTTTCGGAGCTGGTAGTGGAGCTTCAGGGGATTCCAGGTCTCTCCTGCAGGTCGACACAAAACCAAACTGTTAATAACAGTTTTTTTTTTTTTTGCATTTTTTTTAAATAAGCAATACTCTTTACGGCACCATGTTGCCTTCAGGTAACAGACCCATTTTTTCCAGGTGACAACTTCAAGAGGGCAGAAATCAAACTCATACTTCAGCAAAGTGAAAGGATGAATAAGGTAATCAAAGTTTATTTATATAGCACTTCACAACAACACCAGGAAGACCAAAGTGCTTCAAAGCCAGATAAAAACATTGTAAAATCAAAAATGGTAAGCATTAATCAGTGTGTTCAAAGTATTGAAAAAATGGGGCAGATCTGTGAGAACGTGCAGACTGTTTAGGTGAGGTAACCTTAAAGGAACAATCGCCTCACTGTCCATAAGTAGTAAAGATCATAAGCTGAAGGAGTACTTGGTTGGACTGACAATCTGATCTTCCCCATCTCCTTACAGGGGAGGAATCTATTCCATAAACTAATGGAGATATATCAAAATTAAAAATGGTGCAGCAGTGCATAAGTGCTGCGGATTCGGACAGTGACCCTCCTAAGAGCAGAGCGATTCTGCGTGGATTGGCTCAATTCATCCCTGCACTGTGTCCTCGTGCTATAGTAGTTTACTTACAGGCTTTAAATACAACAATTAAGCAATACGTTGGTTATTTATTCAGTGCTACCTGCGCATCAAGTGGCTGTTCTTAATCTGGTCAACTTTTTAAAGTCAAAGCTCATATTTTCTTATGACTGCTGATTAACTGTATGAACAAAATTTATTATTACACCAACATCCAGGAAATGCAATCCAAAGTCTTCACCTTCCACATCCAGTGGAATTGAATAGTAAGAGGAGATTGTTTACAGAGTACAAATGACATTTTACTTACATGAAAATCTAATTGGCTTTAGCCAAATACTCCTCCACACCATTTTTTATTTATTTATTTCAGATCTCAAGTTGCGCTTATAAACATGCATTATGCAGAGATAAACAACTTATTCTCACAGAAAAAAATAAACATTCCGGTCCAACTTGGATTGTCGTCAAGTCAAACATAAGAATTATTCCCCAAGTTTATAGTCTAAATGTTTCAACTAGTTTAAGAAAATAATTTATAGAGCTTATTGTGCAATGCTTTTACATTTAAAATTGAATGTATAACAATGTTCTAGTGGCTAAACATTTCACATATTTAAGAAATGGATATCAAAACTATACTTTTTTTTTAAAACTGATCATTTAGATGATTTTAAAAAGCAAATACTTCTGAGTTTATTTCCCTAAATGGTGTTATAAAGTGTATAATATAGTTTTCAATAGAACACATACTCATGTCCTTTGCAAGCCCAATATGGCTGAAAGATAAGAATCACATTAAACTGAAAACTAACCAGTACCTTAAGTTTATTACAATTATGTTTGCGTTTTTAGATTCTGTCACGAGTGTCTATTGCTTTTACCCTTATCAACCTTTACAGCTGTGTAGGGGGTTTTACATAAGCAACTCCGTTAGATATACACCCTGCCATGACAAAACTTGTAATTTGATTGTAGTTCCTGAAAAATAATTATATTACAGTGCATAAAAAAAAAAAAGAACAACTATAGAATAAAGTGTTAAAGGAAGACAGATAAGACTTGTTTTAACCTCGCAGAAACCTTGAAACAACAAAGATCAAAAGAAAAACTACTTTAATAGTAGAGCAGACTCAATGGAAACAAGATAGTCAAACTAGAGCAGAATGTTCAGTTTTATGATGATAGTAAGCTTTGGTTTGCAAAGTCAGTAGCTTATCTTACCGCTGAGGAGCTCGATCCAGCTCTGCACCGTCTCTGGAGGCTGAGTTTCTTTAATATGCTTCAAGGCCTCATCCAGCAGCACATCTCCTGTTGGAGCATCCGACTTGCAGATAACCTAGCAAAACATAATTGTTGATGGATGTCATTTTAACTTTAAACTGGATTTACATCTCACAGAAACAGGAAATACGAGACAGGCAAGGAAGGCTTCCTTAACTAGAATAATAAAAATGTTCCTTAAATCTCTGAAGCTTATTAGAAAACTAGATTTCAAACTGGTATCAAAAGTACAACAGTTTAATAATACCTTTCTTGCCAGCAAGCTTTTCCTCCTCACACCGCAGGCCTCAAGCTGTATCCTTCCTCTGAGGGCAAGTTCTACCAGCATGCAGCCGCGGAGGCCGGAAGAAATACAGTCGTTCCAGAACGACGTGTAGCCCTGGGCGGAGAAGAAGAAAAACACACACACGTTCGCTTAGCTGACGTGTTGAGTCAGTCATGGAGCAACACTTCCAGGTTCCACGGGACCCCACACACTGAGAACTGCCCAGGTTACGAGGGCCGTGGAAGCTACGTTGCTCGGTAAACAAAGAGGGCATGTTTAGACGTTGGAAGTGATGAACCGGAAGTGAGAGAACCGTACCAGCACACATATTAAACCTGAACGGCTATTAATAAGCACCTTGACAACTGACACGTTGCACGACGGTAAACAGAGTAAACCGAATTTACATCTTCACGGTTCAAATTGAATACAGAACAAATTCCGGGAACGTTAGCAACCGGGATAAAAAAGGCAAAAAAACAAACAGATGACATTTAGCTAGTGACGCAACGTAAACAGTAAATATGTTAAAGGATTACGGACAGCCCGCACCTCTCGGTCCTTGAGGCCCAGAAGTAGGACTTCTTCCATTAGCGTCAGTCTGGTTTCCTTCGAGTCTCCCTTTTCGTCCTCTTCTTCTTCTCCTCTGCGCGCCTCGTCCTCCTCTCCGCCAGAGTCCTTCTCCTTCTCGGCGGCGGCGGCGCTGCGAATGGCCTCGGTCCGCCGCTGGACGAGGCCCGAGGTTCTCTGCGTGAGAGAAGTCATAGCTGGGGCTGAGCAACGGTCGGATTCGAAGACAGGGGCCTACCTCGGTCAGATAGGAAGTCGTACTGCATGTAAAACGAATTTTAGAGGTCGGAAAATAAAGGAGGTGAAAGACGGGTCGATGTAAAACAGACGCCGTCTGTAGACGTTAAGCTCTGTTCGGTAGTCTTGAGAAGGCTCTGCCCACTTCCTGATCCAACATGGTGGCGGAGGCACTGACGTCGAATGAGGACATTTCTTGAGCAGGGTTCCGAACGCTTCGCCCGTGTTGCCTTCAGTTTTATCGGGAAATCTCAATTAGTACTTAATAAACTCCTCGATTAATTATAAACTTTTGAATATTTGTCCGTTAACTGTATGTAGCTTGATTGGAATTATTTCAATAAATAAAAAAAATTACATGTTATACAAAAACACGAGAATCCTGCGTGTTAATGAAAAATAAAATGAGTAATATTCATAAGGAATTTATTATTGGGGCCGCGAACGCTTCACATGTGTTGCCTTCACTGCTATCGGGAAAACCAGCACACTGCTTTGCATTAAAATGTCTTATATCTAAATTGTCAAATTCATAGTTTTTAATTAAATTGTATTACATATTTCGTAACCATGTTTAAATAATACATCACATTTGGAATTGATCATGTCAACAAAACATTTTTTGTAGTAATTTAACATTTAACAGCTTTTTATTGCCTGTGCTGAAGTAAGCCATGATTAAATATAAATTCTTAGAAGTATTTGTGAATTGAACACTCATTTTATTTATTGACCTACACAGCAGAACTACAAAGACAAATAGAAAAAAAAAAACAATAACCATGAGTTGTAAGAGCATCAGTTCCAAGTGTTAGGGAACAGAAACTAGTCATATTCTTTTATAATTAACCATTCCTCCCCTAAGCTCATCTGGTGGATCTCAAAGGCTGAATGGTACTGTGTTCCAGTTTTATTGAAAAAATAAACAAAAAACGGATTTGGTGCTTCAAAGATTTTTTAATCAATATTTGCTTTGCTTGTACAGTACTATACTTAAGTTACATTTTCTGTTTTTAACATAGATTCTCAATCAAAATTCTGTGCATAGTCCTCAAGTAATTTTTAATTTGCAAAACCAATACAGTTCGGTGTAGCATCTTAAAAGCGTTACACTTTGTACTGTTAGGTTTTATCATTTATACATCATGTGCACTGTTGTATAAATGATAAAACCTAACAGTACATAGAACTGAAAATAGTAATTTTACTTTTTTTTTTTCTTGGTTAAGTACACTGTCCTAAGCTACACTACCAGAACGCTAAAAACCAACAATCAGAAAACCCTTTAATTTATATTTTACGGTCATTAGTCAACTCAAGTTAGGAGACATGGTTAAAGTGCCCTGCAGTCTCTAGGTCCACCAAGCCTCAAGGATTGCCACATTGCCACTCATACGAAAATAAACCCAGAGACAGAAAAACACACACAGATTTGAATTTCTATCCATATTAGGACTTTAATTTGACTTACCGTACATTGATTTTTGTTGGTGCATTTATGCCTAAACCTGACAAGTAGAGTTGAGCATAGTTTGAATTTGAACAATCCTGGTTCTGATTCTGATTCCTTGTTTTGATTTCAGTTTCTATCAATTCTCAATTCCAAATCTTTAAAAAACAATAACTACAAATTTTTACATATTAAAAGTGAGCTGGCTAAGCAGATATCTCTATATGAAATCTTTAAACTCTAATCTGAAACGTATGATTTACACTTTCACTTCGAGCTCTCTGTTTCATAACTAGATTGCAACGCATTTACATGTCTCTAATGTCTAATACTGCAGTACTTGTGCTGTATTTTCCTTATTCTATTTATCTGATTCTAACTGCAGTGCGGTTCTAGGTTGAGTGTTTTGGGCTGGAGGGAAAAAGTAGTGCAGCATGAAGGCATCAGCGTTTATAGCCTCACCCATTTTTTATGCATCTCAATTCCAAACAACTAGACATAACCCGTCTTTCAGTTAGTGGGGTTTATTATTTCATAAACTCCACATTGGTGCTCAACGACGATCACTTCATTTTTTGTCGATATTGAATAAATATCTACCTGCCTATTGTTGCTCATTTTTACATTTTAAAGCTTTTGACCCATAATCGAATTCAGGAATACCATGCTATAAATGTTCTTCACAGAACTGTTAAAGTATTTTCATCATACAATTTATAAGTTTTAGGTGTTGCAATAACCAGAGTGATAGTGAAACATCTCTACCCCTTCCCATACATTTTAGAATTGGGCTGTAAGATTTGTTCAGATTTTTTTAAGTGCCATTCCTCTTTTCTTCAGGAAAAAAAAAACTTTTTTGGTAGAGTACATTTGTTTTTGGAGTCTGAGCACTTTTAAGGATTTTTTTCTATCGTAGTAATGAATAACCATATGAGGTCTTTATGTTTTTCTTATTGTGAGAAGCTGATTAGCATCTCAAAAGCTTAAATATACCCTATACCTTGTGGATGCCCATCAGGATCAAAGAGGAGAGAGAGAAGGAGAATGCTGAAGCTCTCTGATCCCTTGCTCCCATGAACCAAATTTGAAAATTTGAATTCTCTGGCAGTCATCATGGATAAGTTTTAAGCCCTAAAACAGAGCAGGTAGAGCTTGTCAAAAGTAGCAGAAGGTGGATAAGTAGTCCTTTTTA